GGGGGAAAAAAAAAAAAAAAAAAAAGAAAGAAAGACCCGTCGGTGAAGTCCCCGGACGCAAAACAGGTCGTCCGTCTCTTCTGACCTTCCCACATCGAGCATTCGCCATCCCCGTCACACGCGGGGAAGAGTCTCGTCGCCGCTACCGGAGACAATTTATTCTCACGGTCTCGCGCACAATTTGCTCCCGTAACTCCCTTCCCCTTCGCCACCCCGACGAGCTTGTAACGAGGATAACGAGAATCATCGAATGAGAACCCACCGTCGCAACCTGAAATCGCATTTCACGCGACATTTACCGCATGGCATCATACCGTGACGCGACGATCTCCGATCTCGCAGATGCACAGCCAGGGGCGGACGCATGAGGGAATTTATTTAATTTCGAAATTTATTTAATTCTTCGCGTCTCCCGCGCTATTCGGTACGCACGATCCGCGCGCGTGAGCGTCACACTGTCGCGTCCCTTCCTTAGGTAAATATTCACCGTTGACAACTTTTGCTACGAAACTGGCTAAACGTATTGTAATAATTTAAATTTAGAAATTCTATAAGAACTTGGAGTGTGTCCGCAATCTACACACACATTCTAAGCTCTAATTATAAAATACTTCTTATTTAACATTCAATAAATTTTAATATTTTTAAACACGGATACACGCTGTTTCTTCGCTTAATAATGTGTGATATTCTATCTAATTCTTTAGAAATCAAAGGTATTGATTTAGTTTTAATTTATTTTAATTTATTATTTCAATAGTTACCTAATTAATGAACTAGTATCTAAAATACACTGAAAAAAATACTAAATTTTTATAAATATATTTCTTTAAATATAGTCTCCTAGCAGAGTATTTACTAAATGTAAACACATATTTATTGTTAGAACCGTTAATGTGATTTAACTATCATTTCTTTCATTTATCTAAATATAAATTTATTTATAAAAAAATTTATAAAACATTTTACAAAAATACTCGACTCTTTAAGAAATAAATTGACACTCAAGGTGTTATAATATTGATAGAATTAGCTTCGGTCGAAGTAGGATAATACACGAACAGATACATATAATATCAGCATAGATTTTCTGAAGAGTAATCTATTATCGGATAGCACTCGTTACGTTATTTGTCGTTAAGTGCATGAAAGCTTTTTCAAGAGCTTAATATTGCTCCCGCGGTTAATAGCGACATGTTATTATGCTCGCGGGAACACAAGTGTGTCGCAGTTTAAAGTGTCTCTACTTCGGTGCCGCATAAAAACTGTGCAAGCCTAACCTTTTAGGGATTCTTTGTGGCGGTGCGATTATACCAGGTGTCCCCGATTTATCACAAATTCAGGTCTTTGTAAACGTAGAATTACTTTTTTTTAGAATTGATTCCATTATTATTCTGTTTATTATACTTCAAAATTCTTAAATAATCAAATTTACGAAAACACTTACAGAAATTTAATATATTAAATATTCACATACAGTACAAGTCATTCCAGCAATGTTGCAACATTTCAACAATACTACAATAACACTACGATGTCGCAACAAACTATTATGCAGTACAAGTAGTAATTACTTAATTATTTTGAATATTAAAAGCATTATTATTGTTTAATGTTAATTAATCACTACCTTGCAATATTAAATTTTTGTAAGGAATTATTTATAGTTTTAATTCTCGAATCGCTTAAATATTTAATCTTAGCATTTTTCAATTTTCTAGAGTCTTCGAACACTCGTATATATATATACTCCAATTTTATATCTTTAATTTTAAAAGTTTCAAATTATTTTCAAATTTTCACATCCTCTCATTATTGTGATGTTAATTATATACTAATTTTTTTACAAAACTCATTATCCGTACAGAACATAAAAGCGCGACAGAAAATGCATTCGATCAAAGACACCGTGTATATCAAACGTTTCTACGGCCACGTACACGTTCGTATTCATATGCCCAATCCCTTCCTCCCGAAAACTCATGAAAAGGAGAATATGAGGTTCTGTATAAAATATAGTATTATATATTCACGGGTAATAACCAACTATAACCGACCATAATTTTGGCGTCGATGGTTCAGTAAGACAAATGATGTTACTACAATTGGAGACGCCATAAATCTATATAGCACACTTAATTTATCTGAGAAAATGTTCTCTAAACGTCTTTAACTAGAACATCCCTTGAAGGTCTGTTCTGTATGGTAAAGAATCTCTTATCTCCAGCAAAAGACTTCAAGAAGTGAAATATTACTCACTAAGTTGCGCCCGTGAAATGTTAACCCGCGATTTCGTCCTTCGTCCTTCATCTTGACGTACTTTCGACTGTTGCTGAAAATTATTTGTGTAATTAGTCAATTTTTCGAATATTTTACTTAATATGAATACGTTAAAGAAATTTATCGAACGTTCATCTAGTCCTGGCTTGTTCCGTCCGCAATTATTTTAACTCCGGAGTCAAAACACAAAGCCATCGATCGCCACACAAAAAAAGATTCATTACGAGTAAAATTTTGTGGATCTGTGAACGATGCTGTTAACATCGTAGAATCCCCGAAATCTTATATTGAATTTTTTACGTCGATGGCTTTGCGTTTTGACTTCGGAGCTAAGACTGGATAAACTTGAACTAAAAGTGAAAGAATTCTCTTCATTTAATCATTCTTACTTTTTTCCTGCGAGAGTGAAAATGTAGAAGAACGAGCAGAAATTCTCTCGTTTCGCGGGTGATACATTAATTAGAACGTTCACTATTAATAAGAAACGATGACAAAAACCTATACGACGCACTTTAAAAAGACGTTTCAACAACATTACTTCGAATGCAAATGGCGCCCTTTATTCTCGCGGTTAACTTTGCGGTGTCTAGCGACATCTCGCGGCACCGCCCTCTTCTCGCTGTTCAAACATTTTGTGATATCATATGGTTATATAAAATTACCGACATGAGTAAAAACGTTTAAACATTGGAAATATTGAATAAGATAATTACAAATGTTATAAGTAATGTTCGTTTCTATCAATTGTCTATAAATTAACTGTAATTTCGGTTCAATTTACTATTCATCTTTTTTAATTCTTATGACCTGCGCACAATGGAGGGAATATCAGGAATAATATTAAATAAATATTAAAATGAAATAAATATTAAGATTTTAACCTATTAAACACAGACTTTTGCATAACGCATAACGTATAATACATAAACGAATCAACCAATCAAAAACCTTCCTTTCTCTCATTACACGGAAAAGAAGAATTTTGATTGGTTGATTCTTTTATGAATTGTGTATTATGCGTTATACAAGAGTTGCTTGATTCACGCTGCATCCGACATTAAAGCAATCAATTGCCGGGTTCATTTCGGTCTCAAAATGTTTATAGAATTATTTGCTCCAAGAATATCCAGAATCCGAATTTTTTGCTCATTGTTTCAGATTCTGGAAAATGAAACCGGATGCACAGCCACACTGTGAGTCAAATTTTTTGACTTAAACGGTGAATAAAAATGTCGAGAATAGAGCAAAAAATTAGCAAAAACACAGCCCTTCAGGAATATGTACTTGATTTTTCATTTGCTGCTATTTTCCTTTGTGGCTGTGCCAAGATCCTAAAATTCAACCAATAAAGCTGCCAGCTCTAACCGAAATTTGAACTCTATTGGCTGAATTTTAGGATTAAGATCTTAAGACCGAAGTATAAACCAGGCATAAAATGTAATTGGATAATTTTCCTTATGCATATGTTCATGTGGCTATGCAAGTTGTGTGGATATCCTTAATTTCGAGCGTCACGAAAAAAGTTAAAATGGCCTCTCAGATAATATGTATAATATTTGAGTTTATTCTGGCGCCCTCGGCTTCGATTTTTACCTGATAATTGATATTTCATATTTCAGCTAAGGCTTTTCAAGCTTGTTGATTGGCTGCGGGAAAGACAAGTTCTTGGATCTCTCTATTCTACAGCCAATCAATAGGCTTGAAAAGTTTGCCTTACGACGTATGAAATATCAGTCTTTTCTCTCCCTGCTTTCGTTGAGAATACATAAACTACTGGCCAGTTGCACTTATCAGGCTTTTATAGTTCGTGAAGCAAATGGAGTATATTGTCGTCTGCCATAACATAACGTACCTAACCTTGTCAAGTTTTTCAACGCGATAGTAAACAAGTGGAATAGTTTTATCAAGCGATTTCTTCAAATAGGTATCCAATTAAGATTTATGAAATAACCTATATATATATAAAATCTTTCTTTGCTAAATTGATAAATTTTTTCTAGGATAATATTTAACTGTTCTAGTATCGCAATATACGAATTGTTTTTTTGAATTTAATTGCAATTTGACTTGGGACATTACATTTATTGAAGAAAAACGGAAAAGACACAATTTTCTTTGCATTGCAGATATTCCACAATGTCTCAGAACGTGAACGAAGCGGCATCGGCTGAAAAAGAGGCTATAGCTGAAGAACCGGATGCCGTCTCCGAAAAGGACCGGCAGTTTTTGACTGAGTATGTACGAGAAACAGAACAGAGACTCGCGACGAAGGAAGAGATTCGCGCGGCCAATCTTAATCCCGCAAGGCCCCCAGATGCATCATTCAGTAAACTTGACTCAAGCCTCAAGAAAAACACCACATTTGTCAAGAAACTGAAGAACTTTAGCATGGCCCAACTTGACACAGTTTTGAAAGACATGGCTACTTTGAACCTGACCAAATACGTGAGTGAAGTTGCCACTGCTCTGGTGGATGCCAAAATAAAGATGATTGATGTAGCACCTGCTATTAGGGTATGTAGTTTTCTCCATCAGACGTACGCTGAATTTTCCACTCATTTTTTTGAAAATTGGCAAAGGATACTGTCATTGAAAGTCGGCGATAAGATTGCAAATCCCAGCAAGTTAAGAGTAGATTTACGATTCTATGCAGAATTAGTGAATGCTGGAATATTCACACACAAACAAGGCTTGCCATTACTTGGCTCGATATTGACTGTATTAATCAATATGGATAAAGAGGAGCATAATAATGCTAGCATAATATTGAGTTTTTGTCGACATTGTGGCGAAGATTACGCTGGTCTTGTACCTAAAAGGGTGCGAAATCTGTCGGAGAAATTAAATGTTTCAATTCCAAAGAGTAAAATGTTATCACCGGACAAGCAACAGAATGTCAAGCTGTTGTTGCGTGAATATTACAACTCTTTGTGTAAGCATATGCTGAAGGAGCACAAGGAGCTGCAGGCATTCGAGAAACAAAATCGCAAAATACTGCAGACCAGGGGAGAACTGAGTTCAGAACGAAAGGAGAAGCTTGAAGCTTTACAAGTCTGTTATGAGCGTTTATTAACCAATGTACAGAGCTTTTCCGATACGTTAGATGAACCGATGCCCGAGCTTCCAGTGGACAACGAAATAAAAGCAGAAGTGGAGGAAACACTGAAAATGATCAATGAGGGAGAAGAAAGCGCTATGTTGGAGGATATGTGGGGTGACGAAGAGACGAGACGTTTCTATGAGGTATTCCCAGATCTGACTGTCTTCCTACCAGGTTCATATTTGAAGGATACTCCGAAAGATATCCCAAAGACGGACACAGCAATAACGGAAGATACTCTCGATGAGGAAATTGTCTTTGATGAGTTGGAAGAATCTGAGAAAGTTGAAGAGCCACCTGAGGTAGAAGTGGAGGAGCCTCAGATTTCCAATACAAGTAACAAAATACTGTTGGATGCTTTTCTGACACATCTGCCGAACTGTGTAAATCGCGAAATGATTGACAATGCCGCAGTCAATTTCCTGATAAATCTCAATACGAAGCATAACAAGAAGAAGCTGGTAAAGGCTCTTTTCGGCGTTTCGAGAATCCGTCAGGATCTACTACCCTTCTACTCTCGCTTGGCAGCCATTCTTTATCCAGTAATGCCTGAGATTGGCAATGACCTGTGTCAGATGTTGAAACAAGATTTTAAATATCATGTTCGTAAGAAGGATCAGATCAATATTGAGTCGAAGATCAAAGTGGTCCGCTATATCGGTGAGCTCGTCAAATTCAAACTTTACTCCAAAATAGAGGCATTGTACTGTCTAAAGGTTTTACTACACGACTTTACACATCATCACATTGAAATGGCTTGCAATTTATTGGAGATTTGCGGCCGATATCTTTTCTGTTCACCAGAGTCTCATCAAAGGACCAAGGTCTATCTGGAGCAAATGATGCGCAAAAAAGCAGTTACTGCACTAGATTCGCGTTACGTCACGATCATCGAGAACGCGTATTACTTCGTGAATCCACCAGAATCGACCGGCGGCGTTACAAAGAAGGACAGACCGCCCGTACATGAATTTATTAGGAAACTACTATACCAAGATCTCTCTAAGACGAATACTGACAAAGTGCTCAAGTGGATGCGCAAACTTGATTGGGAGGACGACAGCGTATCATCCTATGCTATAAAATGTCTCACTGCCGCCTACAATGTTAAATATCCCAATATTCGATGCGTTGGAAGCCTGTTGGCCGGCTTGGTGGCCCATTATGAGACTATCGGGCCACAGGTGGTCGACGGTGTACTCGAAGACATACGACTATGCATGGAAATCAATCTACCCAAATTCAATCAACGACGCATCGCTATGGTCAAGTACTTGGGTGAGCTGTACAACTATCGAATGGTGGAGAGTGGCGATATTTTCCGTACTTTGTACTTGCTTATTACTTTCGGCGTCAGCATAGACCATTCGTCGCCAAGCGTGCTCGATCCGCCCGAGCATCTCTTCCGTATTCGTCTAGTATGCACATTATTGGAGACGTGTGGCCAGTACTTCAGTGGCGGATCGAGCAAGAAAAAACTCGATTATTTTCTCGTATTCTTCCAGAACTACTTCTGGTTTAAATATACAGATCCGATCTGGACGTCCGAGAATCCGTTCCCCGTTGGTATAGATTACATGTATCGTGATACATTAACAATGTTACGACCCAAAATGCAATTATTCCAGAATTACAAAGAAGCGCAATGCGCCGTAGAAGAATTGCGCACCACACTCTATCCAACCTTGGGTAATCCTCCAGTTGATGATACTACCGCGGAAGGCGAAAACGACATGAGCGTTATCATAGAAGGTGATGAAGAAGCAGCATTGGCCGGAAATGGTAGTGGGGATGCCAAAGGTATGGCCGAACTGCATTTTGAAGAGTCCGAAGATTGCTCGGAAGCACAGTCGGAAGAGGAATGGACAGCCGATGCAGAACGCGACGGCACCCAAGAAAACACTCAGGGTGATCGATCTCAGAGTCTATCAGCAGACGGTGGCACTGAAGGCGTGATTGTAGACGTGACAGAGGAACTAGATGCAGCATTACCATCTGGACCACGACGCGTAAGCTGTCCGGAGGATGATGATTTCCTGTCGGCACTAGATAAAATGGTCTCAGACAATATACAGGATCGTATGCGAGATTCGGTAAAGCCGCAACAAGTGGATATCTCCGTCCCATTGCACGTGAAGAGTACAAAGAAGACATACGAACAGCTGCAGGAGAGGCCAACTGACAATAGCACAATAGACTTTGTGTTGATGCTGAGGAAGGGTAATAAACAACAATACAAGAATCTCGCGGTTCCGGTGTCATCCGAGTTGGCTATGAATCTCAGAAATCGCGAACAGGAACAAAAAGAGGAGAAAGAGCGCGTGAAGAGACTAACTTTAAACATTACTGAGAGGCAAGAGGAGGAAGATTATCAGGAAACTATGAATCAGAGTACGAGACCGGTCACCGTAAATTTGAACAGGGAACGACGACAAAAGTATAATCACCCTAAAGGAGCACCTGATGCCGATCTCATCTTTGGACCGAAGAAAATTCGATAAGCTCGATTATAAATGACTAAAGTCGAATGGATTGTACTCCATTGAAAAGTTGATGATGCTGTGAAATGGAACTTCACACTTTAGATTCGTCAACTATATTGTTAACTAACTTTGGTTAGTTTTATTGCTTTGTACTGTGTCTGAGAATCTTTTCAGAGGCGAACACCACATGTCGCATCAGAGTTTGAACGAATGTATTATATGTACAAATGACGCAAGTTAGCAAATTAGCATTTAAACAAATCATCTTTAAGACTGATACAGTAAACCCTCTCGTTAAAGAAGTCAGAATAACTAACTTTCGATATATGTATACATATACATATATATGTGTATTATGAATACGTAAATTATTTTTCTCTGATGAAAATATTTTTAAAAATTGATCAATACGGAATTATTACAACGCACTGCCGATTAATTATGTGCAGAGTTTACTGTATCATATAAATGTACTTTTAAAGCAATTAGATATGCATATATATATATATATATATATATATATCATTTATCATGATAACTTTTTGTCTGTCACAAATGTTGTTAATAGACATTTTTACACAGACTTATAGTCAAATTGTTATTTTATGACTTTCAACGAAAGATATGTTGTGATAGACTAATCAATTTATATACTTATCTGTAATATTTTTAACATGATTCTATACCTTATTTTAAAAAATTAAATGTTCTTTTTTCCTCGGCAGATTACGAATGATATATAAGTAAAATTTATAGACTGTATCAAACTTTCTATTGAAAAAAAACAAAATAAATAACTCAACACACATTGTGATGTACAATTATTTATTTTTATCTAGGAAATTATCGCCATGTACAAAATGAATATAAATAAATGTATTAGGTGCTTTAACGTTTGATACGGCTCCGTAGTAAGTTTTGCATTAACGACTTCACGTATATCTACCGAAATACATATATGAAATTGATAAACATGTAAATTAACACTAAATGCACATCTGCACCTAATTGTCGCTTCTTACGGATCTTCTTCTGCATCTTCAAACTGGCCGGCTTCGATGTCCATAGCTTCTTCTGCTTCTGCTCCTGTGTGAGTGGTCCCCATTTGCTCTGTTAATAATAAAAAACTAGGAGTCTATTGTTCGATATATATATATATCGATAGTATGAAAGGATAACCACATTACCGTATTAAACATATTAGTTCAAGCATTGATATTTAATCTAAACGTTCAAATATGAATGATATGTATAAAAGTAAGTATACAAATTACCTGTCGGTAAAATACAAGGTGCGTCTCCAGCGCCTACCTCTTCGTCATATTCACCTTCATAATCTTCTTCGGCGTCTTCATAAATATCCTCTTTAATTACAAGAACTTTAATCATTGTAAATAAAAAAAATTGAAAATAAAATCGTTATCTTTCATTTGTAATAGTTTACCGTCAGAAAAGCTGTCCTGTGGATCAGGATGAAGCGCTTGACATGCACTCATTGCTTGAAACATTAAATCTAAATTATTTGTATTATCTGGTGCAAACTGCATTTCCGTAATTGGAGGATCCACACTATCGTTATCATTTTCTGAACCATTTTCAGATAATGGTAATGGCATATCTGCACAAATAAAATTACACATTAAGCTAATCGAAAAATCCTTGAATTATATAAAAATATTAATGTAAATTCACACACAAAATCAACCAAAAAGTCACTTTTATCAATAAATATTCTTTATATTCATCAAATGATATACCTGGTAGATCTACTTTGGCATCAATCATAATGTATAAACATTGTCTTGGATGGACTTGTTCATCTCGTGAAACCGCGTGTAATGAAATATGAGGATATTCAAGTGAAAATCCCTGTTGTGTGTCGTTGTCCACCCAGGAAAGCACACTATCAATAAAAGTATACGTAATTATTTACAGTATAAAATATTTACAGATTATTCGGAATAGTAAATTAGAATAAACTTGTTACCTCTCTGTAACATAAAATGTACCCTTTCCTACTTCTCTATCATTGATATATACTGTAGTATTTGGCTCTTCGTGGCGTATTCCTTCCTGGGGTGGCAGCAAGCTGCTAAGTACCACCATGTTTCAATCTGAAAATATAGCGTTTCATAGAAAAACAAATGTGATTGATGCTTACGAGTCGATATAGATCGTTGTTATAATAATGATGCAGCAACGATCCATCAAAGTCAACAGCAGTTATCTAGTTAACACCAACTGAAAATAACACGTCAATATTATAATCTCATATTCAGTAACATAACTGTTATATAACTCTATGCGTTATATTACATTTATACTATTGAGTACAAAATTATAACACTGATGATGGATATGTTTAATTTCTTAGTTACAATCTTTATATTTAATCAACATCATTTGTCTCTGTTTCATATTTAATAAACAACAAAGATGAACTGATGTTTACAGCATAAAAACTGGAAACATTTATCATGTTACTTTTTTAGGTGTAAACTAAATAGATTTTGTTTCTCTTAATGACAGTCTTGTTACTGTCATTGTATAAGTATAACATGTAATACATATAAGAACTGTGTAACTAAAACAATATAATAATAATAATAGCACTATCGTTATGAACTGCAAAATCTAGCATACGTAGAATTACGATTATCTGGTTGCACTTGCATCGCGCATCTGTGCACATCAATATGCATAGATGTTACGGTAGCAAACAAAACAATATAAATATATAATAAGTATCTGCCGATACTGAAAGTGACGTAGTCCAAGGCAAAGCTGGACCTAATCATCCTCGACGTGCGCTGCCAGAGCGCTTCGCGTATCAACACTTCGTGAAAGCACAGTTAATCGCGCGCGAGGACGAATGACGGATCTCCATTCTGCGCCCCAGAGACATCCACACGACGTCGTAAACACCGGTGTCTCGCGGCCGTCCGGCGCTTTCTAACCAAACGGCAGGACTCACCGTTCACGTTTATCTAGATGAGAAAATTGTCTACGAGACGGACCGAACGCGAACGTTCGGCGATGGAGGTGATGTCCCTTCGCGACACACGCGGAAGTGGGATCCCTGGGATATTCGCGCTTGTCGTCGATGGTCGTCGACTACCACAAACGCGGCTGTCACCAAATCGTCTGAAGTTGCCTGCGTGCGTCGCGAACTCGCGACAGTCGCGACGCATGCGACGTACACCTCGGCGCGCGCGCGCACGAATCTCCGTTCGACCGACGGTCGCGTGCCACGTCTGGTTAACAGGAGGATGCACATCGATATCCGTTTCTATCAATGTAGATTCACTTTGATTCAACTTACTTTTCATCTTTCGCGAATTTTTAGAACTAGAAACTAAGGGCGAGTTGAACCGTTAAAGTTGATCCACATTGATCGAAATATATGAGCATGAATCAGCTTTTCTATACAATTGCGCGGAAAAAAAGTTTTTATAAGCTTCGCAAGCTTATGACGAGTTTAGTCACCTGCATTACATTTGATTAGCGTATATACTGGAAGTTGTCATACATAAAATTAGGAAAGTTTTAAATATAAAGTATAATGTGGCGCATAAATATTTTAATTGATCAAGTATCGCTATTAACGATAATCACTACATTATTTAACAGGATATTATACAGGCAGTATTATTTTATTATCAAAATTGATGATATTATATACTCTACTGCATTTTAGATACTTTATATAAAGCAGTTTTTTTTTTTAAATATGTTCCAATTTAGTAGTGCGAATGACTGAATTATTCACCATTTTAATTTCACGGTAATTTGATTACGACGTTCCATTTGAATACCTATAATTAAATATAGTATATATATATGTATTAATTGATTCATTATATGAAAAAGAGCACGCAGTTCTTTAATTTCCTGAAAAATTATAGTAAATGTCAAAATTAGTTAGTATAATTTTTACCGTTCTTCCTCTTCTCAAAGAATCACAAATCAGCACCAGACACTGAAAAATTTATTTTATCGCAATGCATTAGATGTATAAATCGAGAAATGGCATAGTATGAGTTTACATATTGCGTCTTACTTTGTAGTATAATTTTATTCGTGCGTTTTATGCTGTAACACACACATATATATATATATATATCTATCATACAATACGACATGCTTAGACGTAGTCGGGCGTAGAGCGATCTCGCGCTGCTATTTATTGATGCGCCATCACACGCGCGGCATAGCGGAGTCATGTCGACCGCAACGCGGAATGCGGGGAATGACAGTCGTTTATTTAACGTTGCCTTGCTGCATGGCGCCGTTTATATGGAACGGCGGCGACGGAAGCGGCGACAGGCGTCAGGCGTGTCCGCCGGTGTATGCGGGATCGTCGCGCGGAAGAGGCGCAATCGCGGCAATCGTCCGTAATCTGACCGTCCGATTACAGACCTCATCGTCCGCAAAATGGAACAGAAAAAAAGTTATAATAATATTCGTAATAATATAAAGGATCTCATCTTATCATTTTTAAGTTTATTTTTTTAAGTGACAAATCAATTTCGTATTGATCGATCAAATGATAATCGTTATGATTTAATTTTATGGTTTTATGATAATTGCATTGTTCTATATATCTAGCTGGATCTTTCCTTGTGATGTAAATGAATAATCTCCTTTGAGACTCATTCGAATGCATGCGCGCAATTATCTGCCCCGGCAATCTATATCGTCGACTTGCAAACTTGATAACGAGATTTTTTTTATTTAAGGCGGAATTTGCAAGTTTGACGATCGACGAAAGCCGTTGAATATTAATTACATACTTTCCACACAGTTTCTACTATAGAAATTTTTACGTTTTAGATCTCGATCTTAAGTCACATAGTAATAAAGTTTTTCTTAATTGTTCAAATGTATAAGTCTTATTTCGAGATGTCGTGGAGTCTAATTGCATGTAACAATAAAATTATACTTAGAATTTCATTTGACTAGATGTATGTACATACATCATATTTAATTAATGTTAATTGACGTCTATTAGATCAATATACTAAATCATTATTAACGTTATATAATTAGTAAGCAAGTTTGTAAGAATATTTTTACAATGTACAAT